GTGACTCGAACGGTATAACTACCGCTTTTACAAACTTTTCAAAAGAGGGAATGTATATTTCTCTTTCTCATGCCTTCAGCAATGACTTACAAATGGTGTATCCTTTGGAAGTCTTGAGATAGTTAAGGAAAACAATTTTTTTCCACTGAAATATAAAGGACAAATGCGATATTAGAGTAAACGTTCGGTAGTGCAGCAGTGATAACGCCTGGACACATGTATAAGCATAAGGAGAAGGATTATATCACTGAAATGAAAAATTAAATAATGAAAACTATCGACAATGGTTATGATTAATGACAATAATGATGAAAAAGAATTATTATAAATAATGACAATAACAAGAAAAGGATGGGGAAGAATAAAAAAGGAAAAGAAAGTGAAAGAAATGCTGAAGTAAATAAAAAAGTAAGAAAATAGAATAGGAAAAAAATGTCTACATGTGACTAGCCGAGAGGAAGCTAGCCCTTATCTCCCTCGTTGCTTGCCTGTTGCATATACATACATGTCCTTACGGCTACTCCTTGACCTTGACCAAAGTTAACCATGAAAGAAAATTTGTTTTCGTGCCATTTTTCCTTTATATATATATATATATATATATATATATATATATATATATATATATATATATATATATACATATATATATATATATATATATATATATATATATATATATATATATATATATATATATACATGTGTGTATGTATATATATATATATATATATATATATATATATATATATATATATATATATATATATATATACATACATATATATATATATATATATATATATATATATATATATATATATATATATATATATATTATATATATATATATATATATATATATATATATTATATATATATATATATATATATATATATATATATATATATTATATATATATATATATATATATATATATATATATATACTGACGCAACATCAGCATCGCAATACAGGCATCATTAGCGCATTTAGAGATATTGCTTGACTTTGCCGCTGCCATTCCTCTTTGGCCTTGGACCTCCACTCGCCAACGAGGACCGAAATGGCTCTCCAAAGAACGACGTCGAGTCGTATTTCCAAGTTTTCCCGCGAGAAGAGTGGAATGCTTCGTCCGCTTTGCCCTTCAGAGCACCGTCTCTCCGTCGCTCGTGCCTCGCCTCTCGCTCCCTATCTGCAATGATTATCCTTTACCCCCCACTACGACCCCCACCTCCTATCCCATGGCTGCAATACCCCCACCCCTCTACCTCTGCTACTGCGCGTCTGGCATATAAAAGAGACACTTCAGTCCCTTTGGTCCAGTCTCCTACACCCAGGCAACATGTGAGTACGGCCGGCTCGTTTCGTTATCGTGATGACTTCATTTAAGAATGTAGTCAGTTATTTGTTTCTTCTTGCTTTTGTATATATACATATTTTCTTTTTCTCAGACTTTACAAGCAGTTATTTATCAACAAGTGATATCTTTAAAAACGAAGAGGTGAAAAGTGCACGGCGAGAAATTAAATGTGCATTGTTGTTAATGGGATATATTTCCACATTCACTGATGTTTATCTCGATATACATGTGCATACAGACATCTTATATACAAGCATACGTACATACACACGTTTAGATACACAGATGGATAAAATGATAGCATCAGCTTCAGGTTCCACTGGTGGTGGCTACGGTATGGTAGTTCTTTTTGGCACATGAACGGGTTCTTAAACACTCACTGATCACAAATTAAAAGGTCTTGGGATTCTGAGCTACTCTATATGGCATGCATACGGACGCGTACACACATACCCCCCCCCCCACACACACACACACACAAACGTGTCTACATATATGTGAACGCCTTTCCGCAGGAGACCTCAGGTAGCCCTTCTCGTGCTGGCGGTCGTGGCCGTCGTGTCTAGCGCTCAGGAATACAGCACTGAGGATGTCATTAGGAACCTGCAAACCACAGCAGACGCAGAGGAGTTGGTCGACTGTGTTCTCGGCTCCCGCCAGCCCCAACTGCCTTGCAGGCAGATGTTCTTGGATTTCAGACGTGAGTTCATTCCACTGTCTTCTTCTCCTCTCTAGCGGTTAGCGAGCAAGAACAACACTGTAATGTTACTCAGAATGTAGGTCTATAATCAAGACAGAGAATAAAAAGGGTAATCGCAGGATACTAGTAGATTTACAGAAGGTATTGACGACAGCGATGCCATCACTATACCGATATTTCTTCGTTTCTCAGGTATCTTGCCCGACATCTTCGAAAATAACTGCCGCACGTGCACGGCACAGCAGAAGGTCGTGATGCAGGAGGCAGCGCTGTACATGCAGAAGAATTACAAAAGGTACTTCAACCGACTCTCACGGGGCATCAGGAGGTCCCTCGGTTGAGCCGCCGCATGGATCCTGGCCCTGCCTTGGGGCTCTTGTCTTGAAATATATTTTTTGTGATGCAAAATTAGTTGTCATTAAATTTATGATTATCA